TCCTATCAAGAAACACATGCTTTCTGGAGAAACCAGTTACACGAACCAACATTAATTTTTCTATAAGGACCATGCACTTACTATCCCCAACAGGTTACTTTGGACAGACATTCTTTATTATAGGACTATGAATTTATCGAGCACATGAAGCCCAGACATTAAAATGTCTTGGTTGCTGCTGTAGACTGCCACCCAACATTATCCATATGCCAATTAGTACTTTGGTTTTTGAGCCCTCCAGGCCTTTGGCGAACTTTTGTAGGATACTGCCACTTACCCCACATCATTTTTGCTGAAGTAGGTATACATTATTTATAGTGTCAGAATCAGCTAGACTGTTCCCCCTTAAGACTTGGAGTCTGGATCAGTTAAGATGGCTGATAGAAGCATAAATTCGAAAGAAATACTTTTAGGATAAATTACCGTAGAATTGAAAAAAATTTGATCCATGAATTAATCAAGTTTTTTATTATTGGCTAATTTTATCTTTTACTGTTGCTACTAGGTTCCTGGGGCAGAATCACTTGTAATTAGAGTTGTTTCATCAGTTGACAAAAAATTGGAAGTGAAGCAGCGGTTTCTTGAAATTTTTCAAGAAGAAAATTATCCAACGGAGTTCCCATATAAATCTAAGGTTGGGAAGTTATTCAAGGCTTATCTGATAATAGAATGGGTTACAGGGAATGGTTTCAATATGCTAATTACATAATTTTTTGTCTAGGTTGTATTATTGTTTCAGAAAATTGAAGGTGTAGAAGTATGCCTATTTGGCATGTATGTTCAAGAATTTGGAGCTGAATGTCAATTTCCAAATCAGCGCCGTGTATATCTATCGTATTTGGATTCTGTTAAGTATTTCAGGCCCGAAGTTAAAGCGGTGACGGGAGAGGCTCTCCGCACATATGTTTACCATGAAATTCTTGTGAGTCCTAGGCTCTCACTAGTGTTGTTATTCACATTATCTGTGTTTTCTTTAGTTTGATATGTTATCTTGGAGCTTTGGCCTTAGTTTATGATTCCCTTTCCAGATTGGATACCTTGAATATTGCAAGAAACGAGGGTTTACAAGCTGCTACATATGGGCTTGTCCTCCTTTGAAGGGTGAAGATTATATTTTATATTGTCATCCGGAAATTCAGAAAACACCAAAATCAGATAAGCTTCGTGAATGGTGAGCTTTTAAAACTTTGTGAATTGGCTTGCAGTTATTACTAGCATCAAGTATTCTGTATCATACATTTCATTTTCTATCTCCCTGTTTCTTTCAGGTATTTGGCAATGCTCAGGAAAGCTGCCAAGGAAAGCATTGTTGTTGAACTCACTAATCTATATGATCATTTCTTTGTTACTACTGCTGAATGCAAGGCTAAAGTCACTGCAGCTAGGCTGCCTTATTTTGATGGTGACTACTGGCCTGGTGCAGCTGAGGATCTGATTTATCAGATGCGTCAAGAAGAGGATGGGAGAAAACAGAATAAGAAAGGAACAACCAAAAAGACTATGACAAAAAGGGCTTTAAAAGCATCTGGTCAGACTGATCTTTCTGGTAACGCGTCAAAGGATCTGCTACTAATGCACAAAGTAATTTTATAGTCTTGGTCTTTCAACTGAGTTTTTATCTTCAGTCTTTATAGCTTTTGCTGTTAGATATTCAGAGTTCTAGCATCTAATAAGCCCAGGTTTTTAATTGATTCTAGTAGCACATTCACATAGATGTGTGAAATCTTATTATAAAAGAATCAGTCTATGAAATCATCTTTAAAAAAATTTAATATATGAAAGCTGTTCAGTGTTATTAGATTTAATTGCACTTGGTGCTGACTTTTGTATTTATTTTTACCCAGCTTGGTGAAACCATTTGCCCAATGAAGGAAGATTTCATCATGGTTCATTTGCAGTATGCGTGCTCTCACTGTTGTATACTAATGGTATCAGGAAACCGTTGGTCCTGCACCCAATGCAAAAATTTTCAGCTTTGTGATAAGTAAGATTCAATCTTGCTTTTTTCTGTTACCTCCTTCGTAATACTATATTAAATTTTGTTTGTATTACCCCTTCTACCATATTATACGTGCAATGCTTTCTTGCTTATTCATATGCAACTGCAATGTGTTTATAGTTTGTTTATAGAAGAATGGGTGAAGGTCCCTTGTATAGTTGCTAATTGAGTTCAGGGTTTTGTTAGAATTCAGACAGTTTGAGCAGTACTCTCCTCGATTATGAAGAGTTCACTTTTTCCGTGCTGCTTCAATTCTTGAAGTTCCTCACTTAATATTTCATAATCCAATTTTATCTTCCTTCTCTGGAATTGCTGTTGGACTAACATTTACTAATTTCATTTATTCTGTTTACTTTACATGGGACCACAGGTGTTATGAAGCAGAGCAAAAGCGGGAAGAAAGAGACAGGCACCCTTCCAATCAGAGGGAAAAACATGAATTGCGTCCTGTATGTGAATTGTCCTTCCCTTCAGTTATCATGGCTCTGCGAGTGTCTTATTCTCTCTTGTAAACTTGTTTTTTACTCAATGCTGACATCATCATATATTGCAGTTTGACATTACTGATGTACCTGCTGACACAAAGGACAAAGACGAGATTCTTGAGAGTGAATTCTTTGACACCAGACAGGCATTTCTCAGTCTTTGTCAAGGGAATCATTATCAGTATGATACTCTACGGCGGGCTAAACATTCCTCTATGATGGTCCTTTACCATCTTCATAACCCAACTGCTCCTGCATTTGTGACAACATGCAATATATGTCATCTCGACATTGAAACAGGTCAAGGTTGGCGTTGTGAAGTTTGTCCTGAATATGATGTATGCAACAATTGTTATCAGAAGGAAGGAGGTGTAGATCATCATCATAAATTGACAAATCATCCATCCATCGCTGATCGTGATGCACAAAACAAAGAAGCTAGGCAAATGCGAGTTTTACAGGTGCTTTATATAAGTTTTTTTCCTTATTGAAGACGTTTTTTTTAATAAAGTTTTTTCCTCATTAAAAATGGTCACAGATTTCAGTTACAACTCGACCTAGTAAAAATTTCCCATTTATGTAACCAAGATGATGTGATTCCCTTCTTGAACATCTTTTCTACGTTTCTTTTCACTTCATTTTATGACTTAAAATCTTTCCAAAATGTAAATGTATTTATAAGTTTAGTGTTCCAGAGGTTTCCTGCAACTTTCTCAGCCTTCATTCACATCTTTCAGAGTATTATTTATTTCTAGTTTCTCTAGAATATTATTACAAAATGACCTAAGATGATCTTGGTGTTGCTTTGTTTTAATAATAATTTTGCTGTTGTGTTTTCTTAATCATGCTGAATATGGGATTTAGTAGTGGAGGAAAGGGTTGGATGCCAATGTACCCTGACGAGTTCGAATTCTTATAATTAGCACTTTTTTTATTTTGCAGCTTAGGAAAATGCTTGATCTTCTGGTGCACGCATCACAATGTCGTTCAGCACAATGTCAGTACCCCAATTGTCGTAAGGTGAAGGGGCTTTTCCGCCATGGAATTCAATGTAAAGTCCGGGCATCCGGAGGATGTGTTCTCTGTAAGAAAATGTGGTATCTCCTTCAACTTCATGCTCGAGCTTGCAAAGAATCTGAGTGCCATGTGCCACGCTGCAGGTTTGTGGATTAGTTTTTTGGTATTAAGAGCTGTCAATTTAAATCTCCTGTAGTTCTCTCTCCTGATTCCCTTTTTTTAAGAATTAGATTTAATACATGTGCATGCTTTCAGAGATTTAAAGGAACATTTGAGGAGGCTGCAGCAGCAGTCTGACTCACGAAGAAGAGCTGCTGTTATGGAGATGATGAGACAGAGAGCTGCCGAGCTACACAACAATACTGGGTGACCAAATTGTAAATACAGAAATGGATGTTTTGGAGAAAGAGAACCTTCGGACAGGGCAATGGTTTTCTTGTGCTCCGCAAACACACTACCGGTAACCAGGCAGTGGCAGAAAAAGTGGGTTGCTTATATGGTTAGAAGGGGATAAGCATTACAGTACGGTATATTTGTTTACATTCACTTTTTAGGGAACAATTTTTTTGTTTCTTATCTCCATGACTGAACTCTCCCTAAGAGGAAGACAGGTGAAGTTCATCAACCAGAGCTTGCCCTCTTCAACAGCTGCTAACCATGCCTCCAGTGTGAGCGTGCAGATGTGTGGCCCGATTGGTGATTCTTTGATTTTATCCTCTTGTAATCTGTCAAATGCCATTTGTTAGGTGGCAAATGTACTATAATTGTTCTAATCTATCTTAAATGGTTTCTTACAAAGAAATGCGGGAGGGAAGTTGGTTTCAGATCCTTGTTTTTGTCCCTTCTCTCCCTTTTAGTATATTATTGACCCTTTTTGTAGATTGTGTTCTTGTTAATGGAAGGAATAAGTAGCTTCTTCAATACTGTTTCAGTTCATTCTCACCGACATTGGATTTCATGTTCATAAATTGTTCCCAAAATTATTAAACTTGATTGTTAATTGTTGGCTCTCTCTCTCTCTCTCTCTCTCTCTCTCTCTCTCTGTGATAAAGTCACTGCTGACAAAGCAAACGAAATTGCATTGGTTTTTAAGGTTTGTTTCTCCCCACTTAACCCAAAGCCGAACCAAGTACACAACCCAACCGTTGGCTGGCTACATATGCCTGCCTGCCAACGAATGAAAGGAAAATTGGAACTCTACGTGTCCCTTTTTGTCTCATGACTTTCAAACCTCAAATTATGTCTTGTGGATGTGGTGTGTGCTGGAAATTCCATCCTTTGTCTCTCAGATTTTGATATGTCATCAAACTCAAAACACCAACCATTCATTTTCCCTTTTTACAACTATTTATATGTTCAATTTTTATTTTTATACCAACTTAAAATACCCAATTATCCAATTCCAAAATAGAAAATAAACCATTAAGAGCAAAACCCTTGTACTGAATATTCATTAACGGCTTGTTCCTTGTGCTTGCCTTGTTGGCGCTAAAACCATCATGACCGTCGCCAAAGCCGTTATTAGCTCGAGCTTGAGCAACAGCAGCAGCAGCAGCAGTAACACTAATATCACGTACCAATGGGGAGGCCAAAGATGTTGGAGACCCATTTCTCTCCCAATCCCAAAACCCAACTCCCAGAATCTGACAATCACCACCAGAAACCGCTCCTTACTAATTCCCAGGGCCTCTGGAGCTCCCTCTGAAAGCAACAATGGCGGCAGCAGCAGCAATAAAACCAAAACCAAGAACAAAACCATTGATCTTCCTCCGTCCGCTTCTTCTTCTGGTAACGAGAAAATTGATACCAGTAATAAGATTCAAGAAGAGCAAGAGCAAAAGCAGAATCAGCAGCGGAGATTGGACCTGGTAGACGTGAACCCAGTTGGGCTCGGTCGAAGATCGCGCCAACTGTTTGATGAAGTGTGGCGCAAGTTCTCTGGACTCGGGCAGATCTCGAGAACCAGTCGTGCCGATGAAAGAGACGCGCTTGACGCTCTTCTCATCAGGGAAGGACCCATGTGCGAGTTCGTCATTCCCGGCGCCCAAAACACCACCGTTTTGGTCATCGGAGCCACTTCAAGCATTGGCCGCATAGTGGTCCGCAAGCTCATGCTCAGAGGCTATACTGTTAAGGTGTTCATTTCTATCCAAGTCTTGAGATTCTCGATGCTTTGTTTTTTTTGTGCATTTGGTTTTTGGGTTTGTGGGTTTGTGGGTTTTGTTGTGTGTAATAGGGTGGGTTTTGTGATGGTGACTTAGGCTCTGGTGAGGAAGGCTGATCAGGAAGTGGAGGATATGTTGCCGAGATCTGTGGAGATTGTGACTGGGGATGTGGGGTGATCCTGCTACGCTATACGACGCCGTACAAGGCTGTAACAAGATTATCTATTGCGCTACTGCACGCTCTACTATCAGCGGGGATCTCTACAGGGTTGATAACAGGGGGGTCTACAACCTCACCAAAGCATTTCAGGTCAGAGCCATATCCTCCAATTGCTCTTTTTGACCAAAATTAAGCCTTTTGTGTGATGGTTTATCATCTGATTGGTTCTATGTTTGAGCTTATGGATTGGTTCATGGTGGATTTGAATTGGCACTCAGAGAGTTGCTTTGGGTGAAGCTGATGACTCTATGCATTGCAGGACTACAACAACAAAATGGCACAATTACGAGCAGGGAAAAGTAGTAAGAGCAAGCTTACAATTACGAAGTTCAAGTCTCCAGAGTCAGTTGATGGATGGGAAGTTCGTCAGGGGACTTACTTCCAGGATGTGGTTTCTTCCAAGTATGATGGAGGAATGGATGCTAAGTTTGAGTTCACTTTTACCGGAGATGCTGTTTTCTCAGGTAAAGAAGTCTTCTAATGGGCATTTGGATGCTAAATAACAACCGCTTAATAATCATTTTGACTCTGGTTCTTTGCTCCATTGTAGGATATGTTTTCACCAGGGGAGGGTATGTTGACCTGTCGAAGAAACTTTCACTTCCTTTGGGTCGTACTCTTGACAGGTATGCCATATTTGCATTCTCAAGCTTATTAGAAGCTGGTTATGGTGGATTCTGTATAGAAACATCCATTACCTAAACTGCTATGGCTTATCCGCTTCCATTATCTATATTTCCCATATACAGGTACGAAGGTCTAGTTCTTTCTGTTGGCGGGAATGGAAGGTCTTACATATTAATTCTTGAAGCTGGTCCATTAGCAGATACATCTCAAAGTAAATTATACTTTTCTAGATTCAGCACAAAAGCAGGATTCTGTAGGGTAAGTATCTATTCGCTGTGTTTCTTTTGGGTATAGTTGCAATGTATGCTGTCCCTTATTCTCGTAATCTGTCATTTGCAGGTCAGAGTACCATTTTCATCATTCCGCCCCGTGAAACCAGATGATCCACCATTAGACCCATTCCTAGTACATACATTAACCATACGTTTTGAGCCCAGAAGACAGGTTTGTTCATTTTCTGCTCGTAAGAGAATTTGGTAAATTTGGTTCATATGTTTGCCCCTTGCTGCCTTGTTTCATAATTTAAATGGATAGGTGATTTTTACTTGCATTACTATTTCTTCTACAATGTTGGGGAGGATAATCTCCCATTTGTTATTCTAATCCAAATCACTTATTCTAAATCCGCAAACCCCAATGCAACTTAAAACTATTTTTTCGAACATTTGATGAAATGCTTTTCTGCTTGTCTTTTCTGAATCTATTTATTTTTTGTGGCACAGAAAGCTGTTGAATCACGTACAGGGGTGAAGCAAGACCCAAGAAGCTTTAAGCTTATTCTGGAATACATAAAAGCTTTGCCAGTAAGTCTTTAAATTCGAGTTATGCTGATTGTGCTGTCAGTTTATGTCATATAATTCTAGTTATGTTATGTTCTGCTGTGTTAGAACTCTCTCTCTCTCTCTCTCTCTCTCTCTCTCTCTCTCTCTCTCTCTCTCTCATAACCAAATAGATTCACATACATGTCATTTGCAAAGGAAAATTCTATATGATGAAGTCACTTAAAAAGTTATGCATTATTCATTTGAAAATCTCAATGCCAAATAATTGTTTAACCTTTTCAGTCTTTCGCCAGATCAAAGTGACAAGATAGGATGTACCAGAGAACTTATAGTCACTTGACTATCAATGAGATTCTTGCTAATGGTGCTAGGTTTTCACATTTACATCATAAGAGCCATTGTCTTGATCAATGTCGTTGTAAACCAAAAGTCATACCTTTTCAAAACTGATTGTTATGAACCCATTTCTGATAGTCCGAGTTTGAGGAAATTTTCGAGTCATTTTATTAATGACTGGTGTGCTGACATTGGCGTTCAATGACCATATATATGTGGAGCCTTCTTCATTATTGGCTTGCTTGAAAATTATATTTGCTGCGGTTTCCTGGAATTTTCCCATTTGAAGATTATGCAACTACATATTCAGTGTGGTTAATGAGATGGAACAAAAAGTTTAATTAGTGTTAAGATATGGATAGTAAAGAACATACATAATGATATGTCGTGTATATAGGATTGCATAAATATATTCACGGCATTTGAATGGGATGTTTTGCAGACTGGACAAGAAACGGACTTCATTTTAGTTTCATGTACGGGATCAGGAATAGAACCAACTAGAAGGGAGCAGGTTCTTAAAGCCAAGAGGGTTAGCTCTTTCTTTTTCTATTTTTGATTTGATTAAGTGTGAAATTTTTATTATTATTATTATTTCCAGATGTGTCGCCTTTTTTTAATTTTAGATCTTATAACATAGCTAATTCATTTAACGTTAAAATTTCTCCAGGCTGGAGAAGAGTCATTGCGAAAATCAGGACTTGGATACACAATCATTCGTCCTGGTCCCCTAAAGGTGGAGTTCTTACTCTAAAATTCATGGCTTAGTAATCATTTGGTAATGCTAAATGACATTACGCATATATATAGGTTCTGTTAACAGTTTATTTATCATTTCTGCTGCAAAGCAGAGACAATGTACTTTCACTTTTTGTTCTTTTTCCATCTGATGGAAACCAGTTTGGTTTATACAGGAAGAACCAGGTGGACAACGTGCTCTCATATTTGATCAAGGAAACAGGATTTCTCAGGTTAGAATGATTGACTTTCAAAAAACCTTGCTACGGCTACTAATTGAAATTTTCTTGAATCCCTTTTCACTGGACGATAAAGAGATTTATCTTTTGACTTATATATAACATCATTGAACATCTAACCTCAACTACCATTTCTAAATTAGGGGATCAGCTGTGCTGATGTAGCTGACATCTGTGTGAAGGCATTGCATGATTCAACTGCAAGGAACAAAAGTTTTGATGTGGGTGACAATCTATTTGCCTTTACTATATTACTTTCAACTGACATATGCTTAACTGGTCTTCAAATTTTCTAGGTATGCTATGAATACATTGCCGATCAAGGGAAAGAACTTTATGAGCTGGTAAGGACCATTAAAAATCAATCATCAGATTCTGTATATAAAAAAGAAATACATATCCTTCTTTTTTATGTAAACTTGTAACCACTTGGATTCTCACATGTCTATTCCTTCTGCAGGTAGCACATTTGCCTGACAAAGCCAATAACTATCTGACACCGGCACTGTCGGTTCTAGAGAAGAATACCTGATCATGCTGAGCATGGATGATGTATGTTAGTAAGATAAGAGTACATTTGTAAAGCTGCATATAGAGCATATCTTTTTATCTTCGCACTACAATTACATGCTTAGAAAGCTCAGGTTCTGATTAATGGTGACAAGACACAAAGATAGAATAAACAGTGAATGATTTGAGGTAAATGGAAGTTAAAACTTTATGTTATCTCATGTCGCCAGCAAGTAGTGGGTCAACCACTTTCTCCACCTTAAAAGAAAACACCAACGAAGATCAAGAAGAATATGTACTGATTTTAATTTGTTTTTTTGTTTTGAATCTGAACTATAAATGAATGGTAAAATATATAGACAAGGACACTAATTTACAATCGAATAGAATATCAAATTGTCAAAACAAAACAAAAAAGGCTTTATATCCACTTTTATTATTTTTATTATTATTATTATTATTTACAATTGGATATTCTATCGCTTTTATATAATTAAAAATGTGATAAAAGTAGAATTATTGTTTTATGAATGATATACCCACTCAGATCCCGAGCCTCCGCATTTAGCATCTACACATTTACACGCATTTAAAAAGATCTTAACCATTTAATTAACCTAATGAATTTGATCAATCCATGTCACAATAATTGTATTTGAAAAAAACCCTCACCCCTTTGCACCGTTTTTAAGTTGATATCAACGGATTGGGTTATGTGCAAAGAAAAACAAAAAAACCAGGCTATTTTTCATAGTAAACTTTTTAAGTAGATTGTGAATACATGCAACCACCTGCAAACCATGCGTGTCAAAAATCACTATCAATCTTTTTTCTATATGAAGTCCAAGATATGTTAAATTTCAATTCCAATGGTAATTAATCCCAAAATCAAAACGGTAAAAGCACCCTAATTCCAAGTACTAATAAACAACTACTTGTTTCTCACATGAACACATATCTTGTTGAGGCCACAAGAGTTGACACGTAGATCAGCATAGAAATGATTTTCTTGGCACAGCCCCATCTCACAGAGGCTGAAGGGATAAGGAAAATCTGAGAGAGAAGGCTCTTTCTCTCTCCCTCTCTCCTCCAACACAGTCAGTTGCACTCTCTTCCTCTGAAATGAACCTACCAGAAAAACAAGTTTCAGAATCATTGCACTTAAGATGCTAATTTATGGCCCAAAAACTCCAACCCTTGTCCATAAAATCCCACAGCCCTTTGGAGGACAAGTCAACATTAGCACCAACAAGATTAATATAGCAAATGACATCAACATCAGATTCAGAAGAAGCACTTGTCATCTCACCAGAGCCACCACCAGCACCAACAGCAGCAGCAGCAGCAGCAGAAGCAGAAGCAGAAGCATTCTCTTAACAACTGCAGGCTTGCTTGCAGCTGCTGCAGTGATAGCTTCAGCCTCAGCTTCAGCAGCAATGGAGTCTCCTGAGAATTCTGAGACACTCTCCAACATACCCCAGACTCTATCTGGTGAGTGTGCTTTGCCCACAGATTGCAAGAAGGCAAGAATTCAAAGACCAAAATCAAGAAAGGCAGAGTCTTGCACTATCAAGTGTGTCACCACTTGCATCAGAGGAGGTGATGGCTCACCTGGTGAAGGCCCCTTCAATGTCAGAAGGTATATATATAATTATATTATGATCATTTTCCATTGCATTAGCATTATTTTGAGTTACCATTTGGTGTTCTGATGCTGCAGGCCTCTGGTTGTTTTCAAGCAAGGATTCAGAAGTCGTCAATATTGGTACTTGCTCCTCTCTTTTTTCAGCTTACAAAACATAAGCAAGTTTTTATAGACTTATATGCCCTTCACTTCAGTTGCTTGCTGTCTTTAAATGCTTGGCACTCAACAATACTATTCTCATTAGCATCACTTCAATATAGATATATTTATTCAAAAATCCATTACAAGCCAAGTTGATGCACAACCATTGAATTTTTCCTTGTATATGCAACATGCTGCTTGATCATTCTTCTGAGATGCCACTGGCCACAGATATATAGTTTTGTTCTTACCCCAAATGTCACGTGAGGAGCAGAGCTTCTCTTATTTCTGTTTTCTTTCTATTTTGACATAATAGTTTCCTTGCATTGTTGACATAATATTTATATTTTACTTGAGTTGCAACTCTGAATTCTCAATTCTGTTTTCTTCAGTCTGATTCTTTGAGAAATTGGATTTCTTGCAGTTTGGTGGAGTGCTCAGATATTTGCAATTTGATTAAGGATGGTGACGATGGGCCTTGATTGATTTTTTTTAATTTTTTTTAAAAAAGATCTTTTTGTAACCAGAAATTGTATAGCCTTCAGTTTGATTTCTTGTAAAGGAAGCAATTTTTTTTTTATGAGTTTTACTTTAAATCAAATATTGTAAATTTAACCTTACCATGAAACTGTTAGTGTTTTCTATGCTTTTGGAAGGCAGAGTGATGAAGAAGAAAGAAGAATTTAGAGCAAGCAGAATTTGGCAAAATGACAATGCTATACGTGTAGCAGAGGAACGTTCTATTCCTTCAGACTCTCTCACTTGCTTACAACCTCACGCACATAGTGTGAGGGAATATATGACCGTTAGGCTTAATAGCTGGATCCTTTACACATCAAAGAGATCTCAACCGTTCCTTTAGTCATCCAATAGAAAGCTTACACTTGGCTTACAAAGTGAGCAAAAACAAAACTATATTTAACTAACTAAAAAATTTGCTTAAGAGTTTATAAATCAACACTCCCCTTTAAATCTTGAGCTGATTTAACTCCAAGCATACTCCTGAGATAATTGAATTGATCCTTGGCTAATAGTTTGGTGAAGATGTCAGCAAGTTGTTAATTTGTAAGACAAACAATACACCAAGTCAATAATGCCTTCTTGTAGTGCATCTTTGATGAAGTGATACCTTCTATCAATGTGCTTTGTCTTCTGATGAAATACAGGATTCTTGGTACGTAATGGCAATTGCAAATGTATTGTCACACTGCAATGGAGTTGCTTCTCTCTGAAGTTCTCCAAAATCTTCTAACACAAATCTAAGCCAAATGGCCTGTGCAGTAGCTTCTAATGCATTGATGTACTCTGCCTCTGCAGTAGACAATGCAACACAGTTTTTCTTGATTGAAGCCCAAGAGAAAACACCACTGCCAAAGGAGAATGCATATCCAGATGTGCACTTACTGTCTTCAATTGATCCACTCCAGTCACTGTCACAGAAACCAATCAGCATTACATTTTTTCCTTTCACATACTCTAGACCATAAAGAGCTTTGTGTAGCCTATACACTTTATCTTCCTTGCCTTTGATCACAAAACCCTCTGGTTGGTCTATATAGACCTTTTCTTACAATACGCCGTTTAGGAAAGCTGATTTGACATCAACCTAACACGGCTTCCATTCTTTCTGAGTAGCCAGGGCAATGAGAGTTCTAATGGTGTCCAATCTAGCCATAGGAGCATAGGTTTCATTGTAGTCTAATCTAGGTTTCTGAGCATACCCTTTGGCAACTAACCTTGCCTTATTCTTTTGGAGTGAACCATCCAAGTTTAGCTTGGTTTTGTAGATCCACTTGACTCCAATAACTGGTTTCTCAGTTGGTTTGTTTACCAGTTCCCATGTACTATTTTTCTCAATCATGTGCAGTTCATCTTCCATAGCTTTCAACCATGAACTGTCTTAAGCTACCTTTGCATATTTCTCTGGTTCAATGATGCATAGATTGTACTGTGCAAGCACATCATCTAGTCTTCTCTATTTCAATGGTGAGTGATCATAAGCTTGAGTGTTAATTTCTTCACTGCTTATGTTACTTGAGATGTGTTGTGTTGGTGCTTGAGAAGATAGTGGACTCCTTTCATATCGAATATGAGTCTGAGGTGTTAGTGCAGTAGTCTCATCTTTATCTCCTATAATGAAGCCATGCTCACTTTGACTTTCATCAGGAAGTGGTGTCACAGCTTTGCCAGAGTTTTCTGTCCAGGTCCAAGATCCCTCTTCATCAAAGGTGACATCTCTTGACAATGTAAGTTTCTTGGAAATTGGATCAAAGATCCTATATCCTTTCTCACAAGTTGCATATCCCACAAACACTCTTTTCACACTCATAGGCTTGGGTTTATGCCTTAGTTCATTTGACACATGAACATAACATAAGGAGCCAAAAACTTTTAGATGAGCAATACCAGGCTTTCTTCCATTGTAAGCTTCAAAAGGTGTAACATTGTTCAAAGCCTTGGTAGGACATCTGTTTAGAATGTACATAGCTATATGAACAACTTCTGCCCAAAGGAAATAGGGTATTTCCCTCTCATGTAGCATAGACTTGGAGATTTCAACTATTGTTTTGTTCTTCTTTTCTACCACTCCATTTTGTTGAGGAGTGTAAGCCATTGTGAGTTGCCTTTGGATGCCATGATCTTCACAGAACTGTGCAAACTCAGAAGATAGGAATTCTCCACCTCTGTCACTCCTTAAGCATTTCACCTTTTGTCCAGACTGCAACTCAGTCATGGATTTAAATTTCTTGAAGCAATTGAAAGCTTCAAACTTGTTTCTCAAGAAATATACCCAAATCATCCTTGTGAAGTCATCAATGATCAACATTAAATATTTGTTGCCTGCAACAGATTCAGTTCTCATAGGTCCACAAAGGTCAATGTGAACTAACTCAAGTGAAATTGTTGCTCTTTGAGCTTGAGTCTTTGGAAAAACATTTATGTGCTGTTTTCCAAATTGGCAGCCTTCACACACGCCATTTTGCTCTTCCACTTGAGGTAAGCCATGCACCATATCTTTGTCTCTTAACTGTTTCAGTCCTCTAAAATGCAGATGTCCTAGCCTTTTATGCCAAGTCCATGTGCAATGAGTAATACTAGCCTTCATAAGTAGTTGATTCTCAGCTAGAAAAGACAAGGGATAACACATGTTCTTCGTCATTGGAACTTTGATGATGAGACAGTTCATTGAAGAACTATCAAACACCTTGCACATTCCATCTCCAAACACCAAAAAATATCCATGCTCATCCATTTGCCCAAAGCTCAACAAATTCTCTCTCAAACCTGGAAGATACATCACTTCTCTAATGTACTTCCTTCCTTTTGTTGTGTCAATGACCAATGAACCTATGCTAGCCATATTCACAAGTGCACCAATTGGCATTTGCACTTTCCAGCCACATTTGTCCTTACATCAACAAGCAAATCCACATTGCTAGTTATGTGGTTGCTGCATCCACTGTTAATATATCATTCTCCATTTGTTTTTGACTCAGTGGTAGCACAGTTTGCATAGAACAGATTTCCAGTCACCTCCATTTGACTTGCACAGTTTGCCTTCTATACAGACTTTCTTGCAGTACATTCTCTAGCCAAATGACCAAATGACCAAATCTGTCACAATTGTAACACTTTGGTTTGCCTTTATACCTTCATTCTCCAAAGTGATACTTGGAGCACACCTTGCACTGAGGTTTTACAGCTTCTTGGCCTGTTGGTTGAGATGAATTGCAAGTCTGTGCAGGATTGTTCCATTGAGGCTTGCCTTTCAATTCCCATGGTTTGCCCTTAGGATTCCAATTTTTCTGAGACTTAGATGGACCAGATTGAGCTGCATTCTTATTCTGGCCTTTTGGACTCACAGTGAATGAGGCAAAAGCCTTCTTAGTTGTATCTACATTGTGCAACTCAAATAGTTTCTCTTGACTTTTCAGAATGACAATTACTTCTTGCAATTCCACAATCTCTAACCTTTTAGTGTTTTCAATCACCAAGCAGATAGAGTCATATATCTTGCTAAGACTAATCAAGACCTTTTGCACAAGCCTCTCATTCGAGAGCATTGCACCATATGTTTTCATTTGATTAATCAGATAATTCAATCTAGTAAGGTAAGCAAATAAAGACTCATTATCATGCATTCTAGTGTATTCAAATTCACGTATGAGATTTTGAAGTTTTACCGATCTAACATGATCTCCATCATGAAATTCCCCATACAACAGCTCCTAAGTTGCTTTGGCAGAGTCTGCATATGCAATTCATGGGAAAATCTTATCTGAGACTGCATTTTGGTTAATACCCAAAGCTTTTGCACCCTTCATGAGAATTGTCGCTGCTTTCTCATCATCATCTTCTTTTGAGATTTCCTCAGATGCCTTCTTCTTCTTTTTCGAATCGGAGATTGGAATTCCCTTCTCTACTAGATTCCAAAGCCCATATGATTTGAATATGGTCACCATCTTAATCTTCCAAAACTCATAGTTTTCGCCAGAGAAAATTGGAGTTCTCACCTCTGAGCTTCCATATCCAGCCATGGTTGATCTCAGATGCTTCCAAAAACGAGTTGTTTTCAGATTGAGGAGAAAACGAGCTCAAGCAGCTTCGTGAGCTTTGAACAAGCCTCCAAATTTCCCGATGATTTTTCTTTCATAGATTGAACGCCCATCTTCAGATGATTGAACCTGGCTCTGAGGCCATGTTAGTTTTTCTATGATTTTGGAAGGCAGAGTGATGAAGAAGAAAGAAGAATTTAGAGCAAGCATAATTTGGCAAAATGACTCAGCTATATGTGTAGCAGAGGAATGTTCTATTCGTCCAGACTCTCTCACTTGCTTACAACCTCACGCACATAGTGTGAGGCAATATATGACCGTTAGGCTTAATAGCTGGATCCTTTACACATCAAAGAGATCTCACCCATTCCTTTAGTCATCCAATAGAAAGCTTACACTTGGCTTACAAAGTGAGCTAAAACGAAACTATATTTAACTAACTAATAAATCTGCTTAAGAGTTTATAAATCAACAGAAACTGCAAGTGTAAAGTGTACATTGCTATATATTTTGAGATTTTAAATGGAAACATAAATTTAAAAAAAAATAAGAATCGACCAAAATAAAAAACAAAACGGTTCAGTTTATTTATGAAGCACAGGAGACTTAAACTTTGTACCAAGAGAGGTGGAATTGAAATAATATAATTGAACATGGATTAAAGCCTTGATGTAGAAAACAAAGATGAAGTGGGAGAGGCATAGGGGACCTTTCCAATTCCACTACTTTGATGCCCTTCTCCTTCGTCTCTTTCGCCCTTCCTATCATCTTTTCCCCCTCCATTGTCATCAACTTCCTTTTCTGCCTCATCCACCATGTGTCATCATTTAAATGAAATTGCTCTTTAAACATAAGGAGTAGATTTTCTTACTTCTTTTTTGTCCACTTACACTCCCTTGTATGTTGTAGTAAAAAGTATTTAAAATAGAAGGGAGTGTAAGTGGACAAAAAGGGAGTGGAAAAATCAACACCCTATATATAGAAATGTACACACTAGTATAATTGAATTTTATTATGTATGAATGATTTAAGTAGTCATATCATGAGTTGATATAAAACTATTTGTACCATTTCAACTGACCGTCTTTTATACTTTTAACAGAGGCGACACTCAAAATTTAACAAACAAATCCTAAATTATAAAAACTTAACAATAACAATTAAAATTGAAAATTAAATAAAAATAAAGAGACAAACTTACTAAGATTGAAGAACCCACTGAAAATATGTTGATACAATTTTGGAGAGGAAAAGAGGCACTTCTTTTTTGGTTCTCTCATGCTTTTAGGCCTTTTTTTTTCTTTTTTTTCGTTTCGCTTGGCTTGCTTCCTGGTTGGAGGCTTATATTCTATTATTTTCGTTGGTTTTTTTGGGCTTAGTGGATTCCTTATCCACTCCTTGTGTGTGGGGTTAAAGATGGCTATGATGGCTAAGTGGATAACCTTCTTTTTATATAGAGTGATAGGCTGACTTATGTATAGAGGGGTAGGTTGACTTGGTTAGTTGTACCGGAATGGGTGAATTCTGACCTTTAATGTATTGTGGGGGACTAATTTTAGCACCGCTCATGTTAGGTACATGTATACTATGTTGTTTGATACTATTTTATCACTATAAACATATGATTAGTCTTGTGTTTGTTAAAGTTTTCTTGATTGTAAAAACTATGCAAAAATGGACACATTCTTGTTGATAAAAGCACACAATGTAGGAATGCCAAATGTCAGCATTGATTATTACATAAAAACCAAATTATGCAACATTGCCCTCTAATATACCTAATAACAATAATAATATCATCCCTTTACTATACTAAGTTACCTAATTTTATGCATTAATTTTCCTAGTATCAAAATTTAGCACTGCTCGTGTTAGGTACATGTATACTCTATTGTTTGACCCTAATTATTTAGCATTATAAACATATGATTAGTCTTGTTTTTGTTAGAGTTTTCTCGATTGTAAAAACTATGCAAAAATGGACACATTCTTATTGATAAAAGCACACAATGTGGGAATGCCAAATATCGACATCGATTATTACATAAAAACCAAATTATGCAACATTACCCTCTAATAATAATAATAATAATAATAATAATAATAATAATATCATCCCTTTACTATACTATGTTACCTAATTTTATGCATTAATTTTCCTAGTACACAATTTTAGCACCGCTCGTGTTAGATACATGTCATACTCTTTTGTCTGACCCTATTTGATCACTATAAACATATGACTAGTCTTGTGTTTGTTAGAGTTTTCTTGGTTGTAAAAATTATGCAAAAATAGACACATTCTTGTTGATAAAAGCACACAATGCGGGAATGCCAAAGATCGGCATTGATTATTACATAAAAACCAAAGTATGTGACATTACCCTCTAATATAACTAATAGTAATAATAATAATACCATCCCTTTACTATACTAAGCTACCTAATTTTATGCATTAATTTTCCTAGTATCATAATTTTAGTCCTGCTCGTGTTAGGTACATGTCATACTCTATTGTTTGACCTTATTTGGTCACTTCAAGCATATGATTAGTCTTGTATTTGTTAGAGTTTTCTTGGTTGTAAAAATTATGCAAAAAAAAATGGACACATTCTTGATGATGAGAGCACACAATGTGGGAACACCAAATATCGACATTAATTATAACCTAAAAACCAAATTATGCGACATTACACTCTAATATGCCTATTAATAATAATAAAAAATTATATCGTCCCTTTAGTTAGGGAGATTATTTGGCCTATTGTCGGCAACATTGTGGATGATGTGAGAGACTTGCTGGTGCAGTTTTCTTTAAAGGAAGTCCAATTTTGACCTATGGAGTGTAACAAAGTGGCTCATGCTATTGCCCGATTTGCTCTACACGAACAAGGTCCTTATTATTGGTTAGAAGAAGGCCTTGTGTGGCTACTGACTTGTATTCTTGATGACCTTATTGTAACCAATGCTTCCAGTTAATGAAATTTACTTCTTTTCGATAAAAAAAAAAAAAAAAAAAAAAAAAAAAAAAAAAATATATGGCATATGGTTATATGTCTATGTTAGTCTAGTTAGGGGTATCTGGTATTGGACACCAAGAAAAAGGGATATATCGGCCGATATTTTCATCCTTGAAGCCAACCTCATTAATGCAGCTGGTCTAGCTAACAAAAAGCTCTCACAAAATGTCTCTCATTGTAATTTAAACTATCGCTTGTATTAAAATTTTATATTATAAAATATAAAAAAAACAAAAACAAAAACTAGCAAACTTGGAACCATTTTTCACGGTCCAATACCAGAAGATCTTCCAGATTTTGAGGGCTTTTATTGTCTTTTTTATCCCAACAGGAGGTTAGTTTGGCTAGCTAGTCTTGCTAGAAATTTCTCGTTTTAAACGTCTTGAGCCTATTGGCTGCTTATAAATTGCCTCCCTCTCTTCCTGTCTTATGCTCACAAAAATATCAAACCATCTAGCAATCAAATAATCAAACATGGAGAGAGGAGAGTTCAAGGTGACCATGACCAAGCAGGAAGTGGTGGCTGCTGCCGGGCCATTGCAAGAGCATTGGCTGCCACTCTCCAACCTTGACTTGCTTCTGCCTCCTGTGGACGTGGGGGTGTTTTTCTGCTACAAAAATGAGCAGAGCATGAGCTTCTGGTCCATGGTTGGGGTTCTGAGAAAGGCCATGGCCCAAGCTTTGGTCACTTTCTATGCCTTCTCTGGTGAGGTGGTGCAAAACTCTGTTGGGGAGCCTGAGATCTTGTGCAACAACCGTGGTGTCGATTTTTTTGAAGCCTTTGCAGATGTTGAGCTTAAGGACCTTAACCTTTATGACCCTGATAAGAGCATAGAGGGCAAATTGGTTCCCAAGAAGAAGCATGGGGTGCTGGCTGTCCAGGTATCTGTCTCTCTAGATAGGTCATGTTATGTCAACATAGATACAATCTGGACCAGCTAGAACTTGACTTTGGATGCAATCCTCGTATTTGTTGTTGTTGATATAAGTCCCTTGACTTTTGTGCCACATATGATTATATTTTTTTATATATTATATATTTACATATTATTTTTTTCATTTTTAAATAACTTTGTTATTCCCATCATGCCCCTAAAAATTAAATATGGTAAGAAATTAATTTTTGTCATAATAATTACTAGCCCCTTGGCACGATCACGCATGTGTCAATTAGTTTTCTTTTTTCTTTTTATTTTATTTTTAGAATTAAAAAAAGATAACATGGGTAGTTATGTTCCATAAAAGTAGGACTTATTATCTGATTTTGTTTTTAATTTTAATTTTTTAAATATGAAAAAATGTGAATTTACCATATTATTCTCATTTAATTAATAATTTCAATTCTTAATGTTTGAATTAACTAGGGCATTTTTTGGTATTTTGAATGTTTCACCATTCTCTGCCTTTTGCTTTATAAATATTGATGATATTGTCAAAATGATATAAATGGAAAATACTGCCACAAATCACGTCTCCTATAATTTTTGAAATAGCTATTATATTTCAGTCATGCTCCTATATGAACGTTGGCTTTCTTTCTGTTGTGGCTTTGTATTCTTGCACAATGGCAACCTGTACACAAGGTACATAAATATTTTTTTACTCTTTGCCACAACTTTGTTATTCACTGATTTTGTTTGTTTGTTTTCTTCTTTGATAATACAATTCCTCATTGTTTTACTTTTGATTTTGTTTAGCTCACTTTTTTTCTTCACATTTTTGTTGTTGTAAAGTTCATTCCCACGTAATATTTTTAATAAAGATGCAATTAACCATTAACACAAGTGGGTTTTGTGCTTCCCCCCCTCTCCCCCTACATCATTTTCGATTCCTTTGTTTCTTGATAGTTAATTATCTTCCAGTTTTTCCTATTTTTCTCATGTTTTTGTTGTAGCGTTTTACAATTATTGGTTGTATCACTCAAATCCACACATTTATCTAAAATCTAGTAGAGTATACTACTTATGTGTTAGGTACATTATATTATATTTACCTAGTAATTAGGTACATTATTTTATATTTACCTAGTATTTAGGTACATTATCTTATATTTATCTAGTATTTAGGTACATTATCTTATATTTACCTTGTATTTAGGTACATTATCTTATATTTAATTGCAAACACAAAACCTTAGTTAAAATCATATTTACATTATAAGAGCATCTCCAATGGGGGGTTGTATAATGAGGTGTATGTTAAATATACACCCTTTGTGATCGGAATCACCCTCAATGGGGAGGTGTAAACGAGTATAAATTCGCATCACCACCATGAGATGCAAATTTAGATGCACATGTACATCTTTTTTTACATCCCTTATAGATGGGACCTACATGAGAAAATGTGAGAAAATTTGGACAACAATGAGAAATAAGTCGATGAATGAAACCCACTTGCGCGGCTAGAGTAGTTGCTGCACCAAAAAGTTGTTAAATGATGCAATTCTTGTTATTTTTCAAAAACAGCCAACAACCAACAGCTTTAGGTCTATTTAAATATTTTTGGATGAAATTATATCTTCTTCGAATTTAAATATTTTTAGATCTATTTGTTTGAAAAAAATAAAATGAACCTAACACACACAAAATTAATTTTAGAAAGTTAACATAAAATAAAATTTTAACACAAACAAATTAAGACAAATAAATCAATTATACATCTTTAGATTTACATCTTCTCCATTGGAGCAAAAACAACATTTACAACCCTCGGAGGTGTAAAGGGAATGTAAAAGTGACTTTACACTCCCGAAAATACACTCTCCCACCGTGGATGCTCTAACAAAATATCCTAACACTAAGGAAACAAAATGAATTGCAGGCAACTGAGCTCAAGTGTGGAGGAATGGTGGTGGCTTGCTCGTTTGATCATCGCATAGCAGATGCCTACTCGACCAACATGTTTCTGGTCTCATGGGCTGAGATGGCTCAGTCGAAATCACTCTCTCTGCTACCATCTTTTCGCCGTTCTTTGCTCAACCCTCGTTGTCCTGGTCACATTGATCCCTCCCTAAACGACATGTACGTGCCCATCACAGCTCTGCCACCTCCCAAAAATGACACTGATGTTGACCAAGATCATCTCATCAGTCGCATATACCACGTCACAGCGGAGCAACTTGATAATCTGCAAGCCCTTGCAAGCTCCAATGGGTTCAAAAGGACCAAGCTCGAGTCGTTTTGTGCGTTCTTGTGGAAGATGGTGGCTAAATCTGACACTAAAATTGGTTGTGCCCAAAAATTATGCAAAATGGGCATTGTTGTTGACGGACGGACAAGATTAAGTGAGGAAGGGAATTACGACAGTTACCAAGCCTCACATATGGCTACCTACTTTGGAAATGTGCTATCCATTCCATTTGGTGGGGAAAAAGTGGAAGACCTAGTTGAAAAGTCGTTGAATTGGGTAGCTGATGAAGTCCATGATTTTTTGAAATGTGCTCTAACAAAGGAGCATTTTTTGGGGGTTAATAGATTGGGTTGAGGTTCATAGACCGGTGCCAGCCTTGGCCAAGATATACTGCAGTGGGAGTGAAGAGGGGCCTGCTTTTGTCGTGTCATCGGGGCTAAGATTTCCTGTTTCAAAGGTGGATTTCGGGTGGGGACTGCCGATTTTCGGGTCGTACCATTTCCCGTGGGGCGGCAATGCCGGATATGTGATGCCAATGCCGAGCCCGGCTAGGAAAGGTGACTGGATTGTGTACATGCACATCTTCAAAGGGCAGTTGGAGTTGATAGAGAAGGAGGCTGCTCATGTGTTTAGACGCTTGACTTTTGATTATCTTAGTCAAATTTGAATATTAGTGTTACCACATCCATTAGCTATGTCATTATCTTTAATAGTAGCATGATTACTGCAACTATATATGTATATATACAGAGAGCTTCCGTTGAGGGATCCCTCAAATAAGTTATTTGAGGGACACCCCTTGTAGGGCTCACTCCGGATTGTATTTCACTAATCCAAACCGTCTATTTTGTAGATACACATTCAAAGATCATCTCTACAAAAAATCACTTGAATCCGATATCATTTAACCATTCAATTGAGTTATTGAAATTTTAGTACTTTCTTGAAGCACCGTGTTCATTGATTTTGTAAGACACAATTGGATGTCGAAACGGTTTCCGATTTGTCTAATTTTTTGTAAGGATGATCTATGAATGAAGACCTAAAAAATAGATAGTTTGGATCATTGGAAAAAAAATTGTAGGGCACCCTAAAGGGCGTCCCTCAAATAAAATTATTTTAGAGATCCCTCAATAGAAAGGGACTGTATATATATATATATATATATATATATATATATATATGTCTTGTTTGTATCAAAAGCATGTCCATGAATATGGTTCATATCATATGTTAGCCAATTATTATAAATCCAAGTGTTTAGCCAAGTTACTGTTTAAGTGAGTGTTCATTGGTTACATATGGATTATATCAATCTCATTCTACCTTCCGTACAACTCAAATAAAAGCAAAACTTTCTTCTTTTTTTTTTTTTTTTTTTTTTTTTTTTTTATAATTTATAGAAATGTGGGATATTATGCCACCTACGTACATTTTTTTATATAGTAAATTTGGATATTGTTACCAAGCACCGCCGCCCATGACTTTTTCTAGTGTATGGTACATTAAACATTGTATTTCAATAGTCAAAACCATCTAGTTTTTAGATATTTTCATAAAAATAATCTCTATATAAAACATCACTTGGATCTGAAATTATTTGACCATTTAATTAGATGGTTGTTATTATAGTCTTTTCTTGAAGTACATCATTAGTCTATTTTGTTTGTCCCAATTTGATGTCTTAATTTTTAATTTGCCTCATTTTTTGTAAGGATAATCTATGAATGAACACTTGAAACCAGAAATTGTATAGCCTTCAGTTCGATTTCTTGTAAAGGAAACAAGAGATGTTACTTTTTTTTTTGGGTTAAGAGTTTATGCGTTTTACTCAAATTAAATATTGTAAATTTCACCTTACCATGAAACTGCATGTGTAGGTTGGAAAGTGTACATTGCTATATATTTTGAGATTTTAAATGGAAACATAAATTAAAAAAAAATATGCATCGACCAAAACAAAAACAAAACAAAAGGGTTCAGTTTATGCAGCACAGGGAGACTTGAACTTTGAACCAAGAGAGGTGGAATTAAAGCCTGAATGTAGAAAACAAATATGAAGTGGGAGAGGCATAGGGGACCTTTCCAATTCCACTACTTTGCCCTTCTCCTTCATATCTTTCGCCCTTTCTATCATCTTTTCCCCCTCCATTGTCATCAGCTTCCTGTTCTGCGTCATCTACCATCTGTCATCATTTAAATGAAATTACTCTTCAAATATAGGAAGCTGATTTTCTCACTCATCTTTTGTCCATTTACACACCCTTTGTTGGAAATTATATGTTCCCACCTCACTTTTGTCCTCTTAAACTCCCTTATATGTTATAGTAAAAAGTATTAAAAAACAAGGCAGTATAAGTGGACAAAAGGGGAGTGGAAAAATCAACGCCCTATACATAGAAATGTACATACTAGTGTAATTGAATTTTATCATGTATGAATGGTTTAAGTAGTCATATATTCAAATACTCGCAACATCATAAGTTGATATAAAACTATTTGTACCATTTCAACTAACCATCTTCTATACTTTTAATGGTGGCGACACTCAAAATCAACAACTAAGATGGTACAAATGCCAGTGTATTCATCTAAATTTGCTTAAGACTTTTTCTCTTTTTCTTTTTGCTTGTTCTTTTTACTTTTTCTTGGATTTGTTGAGTGGTTATGAGCTTTTATGGTGATTGTAATTAGAACAAAATGTTACTTAAAATAAATGAAGGGGTTGTGTTTTGAAATCAAGAAAATAAATTATAATATACCCTTTGAAACCCTTTTTATTTTATTTTTTATTTTAAAAAAAAACCTATTTATTCTTTTTAAATGAAGGAATTGTGTTTTGAATTATTATTATTATTATTATTGTCAAGAGCCTAAAGAGTTTATTTGCATGAATTTATGCCCAGATAAGTTGGGCCAAATTTCTTGCCTTGGTTACTCTAGGCTGAACTGCCCATTAGCTTTTGTTGGCAGATCCAAATTGCCCATGCCTTGGTCCGTTCTTGATTGATTCTCTCTCTTCTGACTTCAGAGTAGCATTTGTAGGTGGAAGAATGATAGGGTTAGTTGCAAGGCTGGTCTAGGAATTTTACTAGGGGTTGCTTTAAGAAAAAAATTTAGTCCACCCCTACCACGAGTGCGGGAGATTTTTTTCCCATCACGCGTGCAGTGTGACTTATAATTTTTCAAAAATAATTTCCTATCACACGTGTAGCGCAACTCAAAATTTAACAAGCAAATCCTAAATCATAAACCTTAACAAGAACAATTTAAATTTAAATAAAAATAAAAATAAAGAGACAAACTTACTAAGATCGAAGAACCCACTGAAAATATGTTGATACAATTTTGGAGAGGAAGAGAGTCACTTATTTTTTGGTTCTCTCTTTTGCTTGGCTTTGGCTGGCTGGCTTCTTTTTTTTTTTTTTTTTTTTTTTTTTTTTTTTTTTTTTCCAGTTGTTTGCTTGCTTGCCTGGTGCTGGTGGCTTTTGTTCTATTATTTTCATTGATTTTTTTGGGCTTAGTGAATTCCTTATCCACTCCTTGTGTATAAAGATAGCTAAGTGGGTAGCCTTCTTTTTAGGGAGCTTCACTAATATACCCAAAATAAGAGCTGAAATTATAAATAAATAAAAAACCACATGGAATGCACTTTAGAAACACACCCAAAATCCATTTACTATATAAGAAATTGGTGTTGAAGTTCCTATAAATTACAGGACTACCACTGATGTCCAACAGAAAAAAAAAACTCAAAAAACACCCAAACAAGCCCAACCCAATTTTATAAAAAAGCCCACTTTTTTTTTTTTTTTTTTTTTTTTTTTTTGTTACAAAAGTCCAAACCATTTTATTACAACACAAAACTGTCTCGAAAACAGTAACTTCAAGCATGCATCTTCATTAAACCATCTCTGCAAAACATCTCTTCATTTCACTGTCTTCATCATTTATGCAAACTGAAACTCCATAACTACCACCAAGCTTGATCTACTTTCAAAAACCAACACCACACACTAACCTCCACCTACAAAACAAAGAGAACAATTTCATAGAACAATTTCAACAAGAAAAGGCTTCAAAGGTAAGACATTTAAAAACCAACCCTTTATTGTAATGTTGATTAATTGCTGTAAAGTTCCAGTCTTTGGTAATAACAATATTTTAGATTCGAATCCAAGACAAAATTTTGAAACTATATTGGATTTTCACTGTTGGACTAACTGCATATGACTATAAAATTGTCGGTTTTCAACAACTCAAAAAAGAAAGAGATATTTAGTCATATCCTCATTCTTAACACTGCTAGTCTACTTTCATATTGATTAATGGCCGTAAAGTTCTAGTATAGGATAATAACACTGATTGTTTCCTCTAAAATCCTATTTGTAATGCATGTCTACCACCGTAAAGTTTCAGTATAAGGTAATAACACTGCTTGTTTCTAATGAAATCCTATTTTGAATGCATGTCTACTACTATAAAGTTCCAGTACAGGGTAATAACACTGCTTGTTTCCTATAAAATCCTATTTCTAATGCATGTCTACCATTATAAAGTTGCAATATAGGGTAATAACACTACTAGATTCTTCTAATGCATGTCTACCCCTTGTAAAGTTCCATTATAGGGTAATAACACTGCTAGATTCCTCTAAAATCCTATTTCTAATGCATGTCTACCCCTTGTAAAGTTTCAGTATATGGTAATAACACTGCTAGATTTCTCTGAAATCCTATTTCTAATGCATGTTTACCCATTGTAAAGTTCCAGTATAGGATAATAACACTGCTAGTTTCATATAAAATCCTATTTCGAATGCATGTCTACCACTGTAAAGTTCCAGTATAAGGTAATAACACTGCTCGTTTATTATGAAATCCTATTTCTAATGCATGTCTGTAAAGTTCCAATATAAGGTAATAACACTTCTACCTAACAGCAAATTATAGTCGACTCAAAACCAATAGTGCATAAACAAAAAAAACACGAATATACTCAGATTCAATTGAAAAAAACATACCTCAATTAATATGATAACATAATCAAATATCACAAATTTGTAACACAGCTCAAACCAAAACACAAAAGCAAATCCACAACCAAACTGAATCTGAAATCAATCCAAATTATAAACAAAAAGAAATTAAAATCACAATTTAAAACTCAAACGAATATCTAATACAAATTAGAACGAAATTAGAAAATCCAATAGCTTATCTTCAAATCGACAATAACAAAAATAAACATATAAAATCAAGAAGAATTGGATCTACATTTCAAATTTAAACTCCAAAGCTGCAAAAATTATGAAAACTTAACCAGCAACTTAATTAATCGAACATGAAATCACCCAAATCAGACTACAATAAAATTGAAAAAGTCCATACAATACTTGTACCAACATATTTAGACTAACAAGGGAGTAATTTTTGGTCTTGGACCCTGGCCAAAAAGTGGCCGGAGCAATCCGGAACAATGCCAAAGCCGTCAGTCAAACTAGGGTGTATTAATTAATTTCCAAAACTCCAAAATCTATCCTAACCACATACATAAACAGCTTGAGCACAAAAATTATATAA